TTTTTTTTTTTTTTTTTTTGAGACAGGGTCTCAACTGGGTAGTTCAGGCTGGCCTTGAGCTCACTTTGTAGCCCAAGCTGGCCTCGGACTCGCCACACACGATCCTCCTGCCTCAGCCTCCCGAGTGCTGGGATTACCAGTGTGCGCCACCACTCCCAGCTCAACGAGCAAATTATAATTAAAAGTATTTTTGAGATAAACTTGCAGTGATGGTGCATGACTAATCCCAGCACTCTGAGAGGCAGAGGCAGGAGGATCTGAAATTCAGGCTCAGCCAGCCTAGGTAATTCAGTGATTCAGTGATATCGCTTCAAAATTTAAAAATAATAATACCAAAAAAAGGACAGGGGGTGTAGCTGCAAAGGCCCTGGGTTCAATCTCAAGTACTGGGGTTAAAACTGAAGAGCTGCATGTGAGAAACTGGTTATCATACTGGAGTGAGTACTGCCAATGCTCAAGGGGAACTGGTATTGCGATTCCTTCCGCGACCTCCTGGGTCCTAAGCTGAATTTCTTCAAATAAACTGGTGCTAGGCTGAGATTCGCTTCCGGTTCCAGGAGCAAGGGGTCCCCTCCAGACAGCAAGTGGTCACAAACTGCAACGTTTCGGGCCGGGCGACAGGTCTGCATTTTTCTCTCATGTTCACAGGTCCCAGAGAAGTGAGAAGCAGCAAAGCGCCGGGGACACAGAGCCTCGGCGACAGCAGGGCCCCGCGCCGCCCGCCCTCCCTGGCGAGCTCGTCCCGGGAGGGGTGCCCGCCCCTTCCCGGTGCAATCGGGACAGGTGGCGCCGGCGGGCGGCGGCCAGCGCACTGACCTAGCTGGAGCCACGGGCGGGACAGGAACCACAGCACCGACAGCACCGACGGCAGCGACGGCAGCGACAGGGACGGCGAGTCACCCATGCCGAGCGACTTGAAGGCGGAGCTCGTGAGGCCTGCTGCGCATGCGCCCGCACGCACTACACTGGCAGCCACACCCCCTGCGCGTGCGCAGCTCGGAGTTTGGAAATTACCACCTTCAGCCGGGCATGGTGGCGCATGCGTGTAATCCCAGCACGCCCAGCACTGGGGAGGCTGAAGCAGGAGGATCGTGGCGAGTTCGAGATCAGCCTGCGCTACAAAGTGAGCTCAAGGCCACCCTGAACTGCATAGCGAGACCGTCTCTATAGACCAAGAAAAAAATAAATTAACACCGTGCGACCCCAGAGCCTGCCGGGAATCAAGGAAAACCAGCGTGGAGGGTCCCTGCTCTCCCAGCATCCCCCTCACTACTCTCACAGCTCGGGACTTACTTCAGCCCCTTTCACATCCGGACTGTTTTATTTAGCGCATTATTCTGCAAGGCCACAGAAACGTTTCAATCACTCATTGCACTCACTGCAGTATACTAAGCCCTCAAAATACAAAACGTCACAAAATTTTATGTTCAAGGACTGCAGCTATTAGCTGCATGAAAATAACTCCATGGAAACTAGGAGTAAACACTAATTTGAAAAAATGGTGCCAGTATTGAGTTTGGTATTTTACAAAAAGCATTAAGTTCATAAGCTTGGGCCAGGGATATAGCTCAGCATCACACAGGCGCCTGCCTGGCAAGCACAAGGTTGTGAGTTCGATTCCTGGTACCAATAAAAAGTTAAGCTTGAAACTAAGTCACTCTAAAAAATTTTTATTTCACCTAATAACCCATCCTTAGTCTTCAGCTATCTTTCTTTGTATTGAGAGGGTCTTAGTATTTGCTCAAACTTGTGATGATGCAGTTGCCACACCTGGCTTCTACCTTTATTTTTGCCACTTTATACTTGCAGTTTTTTTTAACTTTCTCCATTTCTTTCTTAGTTCACTGTCTCCCTTGCCACCACAGTGTAACTTCCGGTGTTCCTAGGCAAGGTCTCAGTACAGGTTCACCCTGAACTCTTAGGTAGCCCAGGCTGGCCTCAAACTCATGGAAACCCTCCTGCCTCAGCCTCCCAAGTGTTGGATTACAGGCATACACCATGATGCCTGGCCTCTTCTTTTTTTCAGACAATATAACTTTTCTGAGGGAGCATTTCAGCAAAGGTATTTCAAAAACATGAGAGGTCTAAGTGTTTTAATTAGAAATATTAGGGCCGGGTGTGTTGGCGCACACCTGTAATCCCAGCACTCTCGAGGCTGAGGCAAGAGGATCGTTGCGAGTTCGAGGCCAGCCTTGGCTACAAAGCAAGCTCAAGGCCAGTCTGAACTCCATATCAAGACCCTGTCTCAAAAAAAAGAAAGAAATTAGGGTGACAAATGCATCCAAGTTTTTAAATTGCGTTTTATATTAACATAATATGTAATATACAAATTTTTTTGGGGGGGGTATTGGGAATCAAACTCAGACCTTGCGCTTGCCACGCAGGCACTGGTGCCATTGAGCTGTATCCCCAACAATGAGTAAACGTTTAACAGGAAACTGCTGCTGAACTGAAAACATACCCACAGGGAATTATGAGACCATTCAAATTGTTTTTCAAGGAATATTTAATAAACAAGTTATTAACTTTTATGTTAATGAAGCTAAAGCAAAGCCATGTTTTCTGGGTAATTACAAAGGACCTGCTCTATGTGTGTACACTCAGTGCAACTAGGAAATACTGTAATTAGAATTCCACAACATAATTTTAATAGTTGCCAAGTGTTCTCTCCTCTTTTTCATGTGGAAAAGAAAATTCCTCTGAAAATCACTGGAAGCTTGAACAAAGATTCCACAACTCTATTCCTCAGGATCACTCTGTAGCCTTCAGGACTCAGACGGTACGCGGGAAGCTCCGCTCAGCCTCTCAGAGAGGACATTCCGGCCCGCATGATCTCGTCGACCAGGAGGATGTTGCTGGCAATCACAGTGCTGAAAGCGAGAACAGACACAAGGCTCAGCTGCCAACTCCAACCCAGCGCAGGCTGCGTGTCCCACGGACTCCCACAGCAATCCAGCTCACGCCCCTGCTCGCTCTCCACAGGCTACGTTAGTCTGTTTACCTTCCTCTGGGGGTGAGGAGACAGGGACATACGAAAGGAAGAACAGATGCTTCCCTAAAAGCTGCTTCAGCTTTCATGTGCCCACACTTACCAGGAGTGAAGCAACTGTTTCTTCACACAATAGTTATCCCACACACCTGCTTCTGCTGCTACCATGGGCTCACCTGCAAGGTAACAAAATCACAGAGTAGGCCACGGGATGGACACCGTCTGAATGAACAGGGAAGACTTTTGGTATTTTTGAGAGAGGGTCTTTTTTTTAGTGCAGAGACTGGCCTGGAACTCGAGGCAATCCTCCCGCCTCTGCCTCTCAAGTGCCGGGATTATAGGTGTGCACCGCCACGCCTGGCTGCTTACTGCATTTTACCAATGAAGGGTTGCCAATTCCAGAACAGAAAACACAACCAATTAAGATCTTTAAAATATAAAAGAACATTGTCTTCTGCTGCCTTGCCCAACAATATTACTCATTTCAACCACTATTAACTATGACTCCAACTTTTTACTTCCTGTCCAAAATATCTTTGATGAGTGATTGCTTCAAGGCTGAGGAAGGAGGACCTCAAGTTCGAGAAGAATCAACACAACTTAGTGAGACCCTGTCTTAAAATAAAAACTTACAGAATAAAAAAGGACTAGGGATGTAGCTTAGTATTTCCTAGGCTTCATCCTCAGTACTGAAAGAAAGCTGGACGTGGTGGTGCATTCCTGTAATCCCAGCTCTCAGGTGCCTGAAGCAGGAGGAAGCAGCCTAGCCTGGGCTACATAGTGAGTTCACGCACAGTCTGAACTATACAGTGAGATGTTGTCTCAAGAGGAAACAAAACAAAACAAAAAACTCTCTCAGTTTGAAAATTTAGGTAGCCACACATGGTGGTGCATTCCTGTATCCCAGCACTTGGGAGGCTGAGGCAGGAGGACCATTGTGAGTTCAAGGCCAGCCTGAACTGGAGATCCCTGTCTCAAAAACAATAAAACAACTACAACAAAACTTAGGTTTTTGGTTTTTTTTTGCTGTAATCAGTTTTAGAGGCATTGTTATTGTGTGTGAAGATTCTATTTTCCACATCTTTCCTCAAGTATCTTGTTTTTAACATGAATTCCCTTTTAATCAACTACAGGTTATTTAAATAAATTCCAGGGCACCCTACTTGGGCCCCCTGTGTCCCTCTCTTGGACAGAAGCTTTCTTTCCCCCAATAAATACATTCTGCTTTTAACCTCCATTGTTGTAAAATGCGTTCCTCAATTTTAAGGAACATGAACTCATCCCAGATAGCTTCCAAGCTGGGAGTTTCTTTCCCCTATATCATCTGGAGGTCTTCCACTGAGTTCATCAGATGGAGACTTAAAGCTATATGCTTAACCAAGATAAAATGCCTGGTGTCTGTCAAGACCCTCTGGAGAGTACCTCTGCCTGCCAATCAACAACTACGATCCTTTTCAGCCTGAGGAAGCCGGAGCGGTCATGCCCGTTACTCCCGCCTGACAGCCCGGGTTCCTTCTGCAGAGGGGGAATGTTTGCAGACACCTGAGTCCGCACAGACATCGCAGGCAGTCACACAGGGCTAGCCCCTTGGAGGAGCTGGTATGAAAGACCTCAGATACCTGCCCTGCAACTACTCCGGCTGTGGGCCAGACCTCAAGACAGAAGATAAAACAAATGCGCCCACATACTTCCCTGGGGATGGGTATCAGGGACTGATATTCTGAATAGGTAGGAATCACCTTGAAAAAGCCAGGAACAGGTGATAACCCAACCCCAAAGAAAAGGCCCCTGTTCTGTATTCCTGCCCGCCTGCTGAGTGACTCGCTTCCCCATCCGACCCGATTTAATCCACGTTACCTGAACAATTACACCTGCAATCTCACTGGCTGACCACAGTTTTGTCCTACTTCATGCCCACCTAGTGAGTTCCCATGTTTTCCACCTTGACCACCTCACTTCATGATTCTGCTCTACAAAAATCCCTGGAAGGGGCTGGGGATTTAGCTCAGCGGCAAAAGTGCCTGCCTGGCATGCACAAGGTCGTGAGTTCAGTTCCCGGTACCAGAGAAAAACCAAAAAAAAAAAAAAAAAAACTGGCATGCACAAGGTCGTGAGTTCAGTTCCCGGTACCAGAGAAAAACCAAAAAAAAAATCCCTGGAAAAGACAGGCTCCCTGGGCAAGCACTTTGGGTCCCCTTCTGTCCCGCTCTCACACAGAAGCTTTCTTTCCCCCAATAAATATATTCTGTTCTTTAAATAAACAAATAAATTCCTACAACAGAATGGAAAAAATTTTGTGAAGGCAAACCCAACAGGAATCACAGAGCAACACCTCTAACAAATCTGCACTCCATGAAATGATCCAATTTCTACTCCATGCCCTAATTCTATTGTCTATCCATTCCATTCTTATACTCTACTTATCCCAACTTAGAATCCAGAATTCCCTCGAAGTGCTACCATCTAACTGCAAGACAATACCCAGGATTCCTGTCCTCGCTCCCCAACGTCCCAGGCCCACCTCACCCGCTCACCTCGCTCTCCCTACACAGACGGCTGACTCTGTTCTCTTACCTGTGTTCAAGTCCACACCCACAAGCTGGCCCGACTCAGAATGTTCTGCTTGAATTTTAACTAGTGTTTCCTGAAGGTCAAAGCCAGAGTTCTGAGCAAGGACCTAAAATAAACAAGTTTAATTCTTGAAAATACAGGAACCAAGAATTGAGGGGAAGTCTACAATAAATGAATAGTATTTCCAATTAATTTTTTTTGGGGGGGGTTCCGGTACCAGGAATCGAACTCATGACCTCGCACTTGCCAGGCAGGCGCTGTGCCGCTGAGCGAAATCCCCAGCCCCTTCCTATTAATTTTTAAAAACCACAATCAGCCGGGGATATAGCTCAGTGGCATAAGCGCCTGCCTGGCAAGTGCAAGGTCCTGAATTCAATTTCCGGTACCAAAAAACAAAAAAACAAAACAAAAAACCAGAATCAGTGCAGACAGCCATTACTTATGTTCCCTCTTCCCTCAAAGCAGAGTCAAGACGCTCACTAACAAGCGGCCTCTAACCCACCACAAACCTAGCAACACACTGTTCAAACTACACCCTTCAATGAGTTTAAAAGAAAATGATGCTGTTTGTCAGCTTAACTAAAAACAACAGAAATCAAGCTTTTACTCCAATATAAACCCTGTATCAAAAAAATTCTTAAAATATTTCTCTGATCTGAAACTTCAGACATTCAAATTTCCCAAAAAAAAAAAAAAATATTTTTTAAGATGATATGCAGCCATGTGTGGTGGCACATGCCTGTAACCCCAGCACTTGGGAGGCTGAGGCAGAAGGATCATTTTGAGTTTGAGGCCAGCCTGGGCTACAAAGTGAGCTCAAGGCCAGCCTGAACTGTATAGTGAGTTCCTATATCAAAAAAAA